CATTTTAGCTACTGTTATTTATAACTGGAAAACACTGAGCAACAATGTAGATGTGTCTTAGGAGCTCCCTGCTATGTGTCTGACACCAGACTGCAGATTCGATTCTACCTTAATCCTACAAAAATCATCCACTAACCCTTCTCTGCTGACTCTAGGATACCATGCCTCGCACAGTTGGCTGAGAGTGTTCTAGCAAACTTACCACTTTGGCAACAGATAAATTCTCTCCACCAATGCAATAAACAATCTGTTTTAACAGTTCTACATTGTTCAGAATCTCAGTAACAGCTTCAGAATTTTCAACAATTCTTCCAATCTGAAAAAAAAAAAAAAAACAAACAAGCAGAGAGACACTTTTTCAAGTTTACAAGTAGTTATTACAGCTACTATACAAATCACTACAAATACACAAGGACCCGAATTCATTAAAGCCAAATACAAATAGGGTAACAGTCATGCTTTTCAATGGAAAGGAACAATAAATAGTGGGTAAAGAGAGCAGACAGGTGAATCAAAACAATATGAATCCTAACATGTTAACTTTTAGTTGCACAAATCTTGTATAGATTACTTTGAGTTTAATTTTTAAATTAAATAATACAAAATAGGAGTACAATTTTTAATTCCAGGGCAGTAAGAAGATCAAATGAAGATGGCAAGCATCTGCCATAGTCTCTGGCATACATATGGGCAATGAGTAAACACCACCCCAACTGAGTACACATGTACACATGCGGAGAAGAGACAGCTGTGGATGTCTACTGGGTAACCAGCTGTGAACCTATGACCCCAGCAGCACTTCACACAAATGCAATGATGGTTTGGCTGCTGTGATCAGAGTTACTATCTTAACGTGTTGGCTTAATAAACTTTACACTTAGTTCATGCTTCTTCAAAACAAAATAATGTTGCAAAGTAACTTTTAAATACCTAAAAATCATTTTCTTCAGACTAAGCACTCCTTAAAGAAAAAACAACAGGTGTGTCTTGTTAACTCAAACAGCAATGGCATGACACCTGGCGTTCAGTGAACAGCTGACAGTGAATGGTTGTGTGTTTACTACTAAAATTCCATACCTGGGACAGAGTGAGGGATTTTACAGAATCATCTGGGTGAGTCAGTCCCTTCTGTAGGTCAACCCTGAGGTGTCTGGCCAAGTGAACTGGCTCCACAGCTTGGAGCAACCTCTCCAGAATGGATACACACAAAGAAGTCTGTTCCCTAAAGGAGACACCACAGAGCTTATCCACATCACGTCAGACTGGACACAACCACCAAACACCTAAAACTTGGCACCATGACAATTTCTTCCTAAAGATTTTTTTCAAGGTAGCAGGTGCTAGTCATGCATTAGACATTTCGTATGTATCTATTATCTACAATGCCTGTGTTGGGGCTACAGAGACAGAACATATGGTTGAGCCTTGGAAAGCTCACTCTGGTGGAACACACACACACACACACACACACACACACACACACACACACGATAGACAGATTTCAGACAAATACTGTAAGCTAGGGATAGAAGCTGTGGGGGATTAAAAATAAGTTTGCAAGGTATGGATAAGGCTTCCAGGGGCAGCAATGCCAAACTAAGTTTTATGAACAGAACGAATGATTTAGACAGGTCTTTCAAGCAGGGGAAGTAGCAGCACAAAGAAAGCAGAGAAATAAGCTACCGCATTAAAACTTGAGAGGAACCTCATGGAGCATGTCATGACTGGTCAGAACTGGGGGGAGGTGGTAAATGGGTGAGCTGAACGTAAGAAAGGAAACTAAACGTGCACAGAGTCTCTTATGCCATCCTTGAAATGTCGGCTTTTTCCAGAGAAGCAAGGCCAAGTGGTCAAGTGGCTTTATGCAGAGAATTAACATAATGACATTTAGCTTACAGAAATCTCTTGGGGGCCGGGGATGGAACTCTGTGGTAGAACACATGCTTAGCATGTACAACGCCTCGGTCCAATCCCTAATGCCAAGGAGGCAGAAAGAACAAACCAATGCATGAAGAAGGAAGAGAGAGCCACTCTGCAGCATGTTAGACTGCGGGAGGTGAGGAAGGAGTGAACCAGTGAAGCAGCAGCCAAGATGGAGAAGAGGGAAAGCGACCAATCCGAGCATGTTGACGACCCACTATAGGTACAGCTCTTGTTGCAGGATCAGTTTGTCTTTTAATAGGCAATATAAATAATGGGCTAATCTATGCCTGATGCCAGTACAGAATTAAACTGGCCTAACTTTCTTAGATTGTGACCATACAAATCAAAAGCCTTAAAAACAAGCGCAAGGGCTGGGGTGATGGCTCAGTGGGTAAAGCACTTGCCAAGGAAGAATGAGGACCTGATGCTGCCTTCCGCCGAGGATCTGAGCTGGGATTCCCAGAACCCACAGAAGTTGGATGACTCAGTGCAAAGACTTGCCAAGCAAGGCCTTATGACTCACAGAATCCATGGGAAAAGCTGGATATAGCAGTATGCACCTGACAGGGCAAGATGATCATGGGCCTGCTAGCCTGGAGCAGAGGTTCTCAACCTGTGGGTCGTGACCCCTCAGAAAAACATACGAGGTGTTTATATCACGATTCACAACAGCAGCTAAATTACAGCTATGAAGCAGCAACAAAAACAATTTTATGGATGGGGGTCACCACAACATGAGGAACGAACTGTATTACAGGGTCGTAGCATTAGGAAGGTTGGGAACCACTGGACTGGATGGGTGGTGGCAGAAAAAAAAAAGAGAGAGATCTTGTCTCAACAGTAGGAAGGTGAGAATGGACTCCCGGAAGGTGTACACACCAACACACACACACACACACACACACACACACACACACACGCATGCATGCACGCGCACAATTTCTCATGAAAAGAACTTAAAAAGTAGTGATGGGTTAGACTGTATTGTGTATAAACTGTAGGTCCTATGTGACCCTTAACTGCCAAACAAGCTAGAGGTGGTGAAGTCAGAATGGTTCTTGTTTGACTTCTATGGTGTGTATCAGTAATCTTAGGTGTTAGTTATTTCCTCACAAATAGTGTAAGATCAGACTTCATCAACAGAATCAGATTCCCAATCAGCAATCTCTTACATGGTCTCTCCACAATAACAGTAGTGTAAGGTGGAGGCTGCCAGAATTATCCGGACAAAGCCACTCCCACAGATTACCTGCCACTGACAGACAGAGCACATGAAAATTGCTCCCCAGACCAGTACCCCATCAAGCAGCAAACTGTCTTTTCACTTCCCAACTCGCAGGGTGACTTTCCAGTCTTTTCACTTTCCATAGGAAAAGCTGGCGAGGAGCAGCGGGAGCCCTGTGAGATAGCCTGGGCTACACACTGCTTTATATAGCAAGATCCTACGGCAAATAAAACAAAACAGACAACAAAAACTGGAGCTGGGACCCCTGTTAAAAGCCACAAGCCGCTTCTTGTATTCAGCATGTATTCTATGTTCAGCGCCCAGGAGATGCAGAGGAACAAAATGTGGTTCCTGTTACAGAGGACACAGAAATGAAACAAAGGAACCGTGTCCAGAATCACTGACAGAGACGATGATAACATCCACTAAGATGTCTGAGCAACAGTTGCATGCAGTTGGAGGGATGGCCCTTCCGCAGGGCTTTCACAGAATAGGGACCGAGAAGAGGGCACACAGAAGGTAATGGTATGAACGAAATTGCAAGTCATGCCTGAGGGACGTTAGTGGTGTTACATGATAGGTGGAGCAAATGACAGAAGTTACACGGGAAAGCTGACTGGACATTGAGCAGCAAAGGCCCACGGTCAGACCTATAGTCATGTTTTCCCACTGTAGGCAAGGGTAGCCAGGGACAAGCCAGCCCAACTGACCTGACACGTTAACTCTGGCTGCAGGGTGAGGACCAGCAAGAAAAGGGAATAACCACTAAAACAGCGACTGTAAAGCCAACTCAACAGACCAGCAAGAGGAGTGAAAGCTTACACTGAAAAGAGGAGGGAAGGAAGCCCCCAAAAGCATCAGTGTTGACCAAAGAGCTCACTATCTTTTTAAATTAAAAAAGTCACTTCTTAAATTCTGACTCACATAAAATATCCATTAAATGATCAAATGACCAAATACAAGATGCTTTTAATTTAAAACTATAGACGCATATTAAATCCAAAGTTGTTACGCTAACAATTTAACCGCAGTTTCTACAGATAATCCTGGGTTATGCAGTTTACTCTAGCCTGTAGGGGTATAAATGGATTATATACATTACATACATTACACATGTCGGGATCACTAGCTTTGCAATTTCCTTTTTTCCCCCCACTCAACATTTTCATATTCACACACAGAACTCCAATTTCTAAATAGCTGGGTAATTGCACTATACGCTATGTCCTTAATTTGGTTGTTTCTAGTTTTTGCTGTCTCACCCATCTGTTCTGACTACCCCTCTGTATACAGCCATGCAAAGAAGCAAGCGTTCGTACATCGGCGCTGAAATTAAAAGGCATGCGAGGGATCCCGCCACACTTCCAGCACAAGATCCTATTTGAAGAGGTGAAGCGTCAAGACCTGGTCATCACGCATTTGTGGGGTTTTGGCAATTTGACAACCTTCACTTTTCTCCCGCAAACCCATGGGGCCATGCCTACCCAGCCGTCTCCCAAGCCCCGGGCTTCTCTCACCGATTGTTCCCGTTAAGCAAGGAGAAGAGCGGGCCGAGGCGTAGTTCCGCCGCCTGCTCGCGAAGCTCGTGGAGCGGCACGGCGTGCACCACGGACTGCAGCGCACGCAGTTCCTCCAGCGGCGCCTCCAGCCGCGCCACCTCCCTCAGGAGAGCCACTGCCTGCGCCGCCATCTTTCTGGCGCCAGTCTGCCCGCCCACCTATTAGGATCTCGGGCCCTTCTCCGAATCTCGCGAGATAGGAGGGGCGTGGTCGCTCACAAATCTGTCAAGTCTCGCGAGGGATCCTTGGGAACTTGCTCAGAGCGGTGCACGCCCCTTTGTAGTTAGGGCTGAGTTGCTGCGCTTGGTAGGCTTGCTGCACCCGGACGGCTGTGACGGTGAGGACGTCTGGGGAACCAAGAGGCGTTGTGCATGTGCTCCTCAAAGTCCTTCGTGGCGGAACCGGGATTATCAAGTCAAGGTACATGGTCCTACCTCAGGAAGACGTGACGAAAGTTCTGAGAACTGGAACCTGGACGTGATGCGGCACCATGTTGACATCTGTCATGCAACTGGAAGCTTGATTAAGAGACGTTTGGGGCAGAAAGTTTCCGGCATCTTCAAGATGCTGTGCGTGATGAAATCATCCAGAGGATGGACACTGCATTCGTCTTTGGAGTGGAGGGCCAGGCAGTAGAGGGGCTGGCCTCAGGCTCTGAAGGCCGTTTGCAACCAAGCCAAATGCACCTACAGGTGGGAACCAACGGTCAAGGGCAATCCATATCCGTTTCATGAAAGCATGAGAAAAAGTTCGGAAATCGCTGCAGTCTTGAGAAATACGACATTATTGGAGGAGGAAGAACCATTAAAAGCTAGGCGACAGCTGTGCTGGCGAATCTTATGTCAACCAGACACACAGCTCAGAGTTATCTGAAAGGAGGGAACCTCAGTTGAGAAGCTGATCCAGTTGTAGGGCATTTTCTTAATAAGTAATTGATAAGGGAGGGCTTAACAAATTTTGTGTGGGGCCATCCCCTGGGCTGGTGGTCATGGGTTCTATTAGGAAGCAGGCTGAGCAAGCCGTGAGGAGCAAGCCAGTAAACAGTGCCTTCCATGCCGTCTGCTTCAGTTCCTGCCTCCAGGATTCTGCCCTGTTTGAGTTTCTGTCCTGACTTTCTTCAATAATAAACCACATTATGGAGATATAAACAAATAAGCCCCTTTTCTCCCCCACTTGCTTTTTGGTCATGGCATTTTGTTGAGGCAATAGAAACCCTAACTAAGATAACAGCCAGCTATTTCAAGCAGTTGGAAAGTCCAGAGCTGTGGACTTCATCTGGTCCTCAGCCAAGGAAATGAGCCTGTTTGGCAAGTATTGCTTTCTATACTTTTAAGGAAAGAGACAAAAATACAGAAAGCTTAGAAAAGACCAAGGATGTGATATCCCTCTGTGTGAGTTCATGCCAGACACTCAGGTGAAAAAAATAAATTTCTGTAGCTTTACAAAGACCCTAGTCACACTTGTCTTTTTGAAAATGAAGCCACCATTTTCCTGTTTTATGCCTTGCTCACCCAGAAGTATCACTAACCATTGCCTTTTTTTCTGGATTACTTCATAATTGTTGTAGTCTTGAAGCCTAACTGGCAGAGAAAAGTCTTGAATTAAAGGTGCTGGTGATTTTTGACAAAAGTACCAGTCATTCAAACTCTCCTTTGCTTATTCTAATGTTTATATGGCTCTTCTCCCCACTTCCTCCCAGAGGCTTGTTTCCTGTAGCCCTTGAATCGTATTTTTGAAGCACCAAGAAGACATTAGATCACTTTTCTCACTGCATTGAAAGAAAAAAACCCAGCTCACTTATGAAACACAGCGGCTGCTAGGCAGTGGGAGCACACACCTTTAAACCAGCACTTAGGAGGCAAAGACAGGTGGATCTCTATAAGTTGAAGGTCAGCCTGGTCTACAGAGCGAGTTCCAGACAGTCAGGATTGTTATACAGAGAAATCCTGTCTTAAAACCATAAAAACGCAACAAGAACAAATAAGAAGACAAAGAAACACAGGGGCCTTATGTTACTTTTAGTAGTTGTAAAAGAAGTAAAATGACACATAGCCAACCATCCTTTTTTTTATTGATTAGGATTTTGCTTTATTGATAGAGATTTAATCTAGCCAACCATTCTTAAAGCTTGGTAGAAACTGTAGGAGTATGCTGTGAATTGTTGCATGTTCCACTAGAGCTGATGAGGTTGAAAAAGAATCTGTTAAACTGATGGGTTAAGACTAACACTAAGAAAAGTGAAAATAGAAAACCAAGAGTCTGTCCATAGATAAGAAGACCAGTCTTTACAAGCAAAGATTAAAGATAACTCTAAGGAAATTGGAAGCTGTGTATGCCAGGCCTCAGCCCTCCCTCACTGGCTGCAATTGATAGGGATACTGTGCCTAATATGGCTCAGCAGGTAAAGGCACGTGCTGTCAAACTGATCAGTGTTGTAGAATATTAGCTGAAGATGTGTTCATTTGTTTATGCTGTGGAACATTTATTTAATGATGCAAACACGTGTTGCATTCTTTTATGTTGCATTTGTTTAACTCTGTGAATCTGTGTTACTGTGCCTGTCTAAAACACCTGATGGTCTAATAAAGAGCTGAACAGCCAATAACAAGGCAGGAGAAAGAATAAGAGGGGTTGGCAGGCAGAGAGAATAAATAGAAGGAGAAAAAAGATCGAAAAAAAGGATAAGGAGGAAGACTTCAGGGGCCAATCACCCAACTACACAGCCAGCCACAGAATAAGAGTGAAAATAAGATATACAAAGTAAGAAAAGGAAAAAGCCCAGAAACAAAAGGTAGATGGGATAATTTAAGTTAAGAAAAGCTGGCTACCACAAGCCAAGCTAAGGCTGGGCATTCATAAGAAAATATATGTCTCTATGTATATTTATTTGTAACTGGGTGGCAGGCCCCCAAAAGAATAAGAGAGCAAAGAATAAAAGAACAACGAACTACAGACCTGAGTTCCATTGCTCTTGGTGGGAAGGAGAGACTCCACAGGTTGTCATGTGGATGCCATACTGCTTTGGGGGTGCTGGCACTTAGACACACACCCCTCCATACACTAATAAAAATGTAGTAAAAGACTGCAGTGGATTTATAAATAACCTATAAAGACCTAGAAGAGAACTTATAAAACAAAGAGACCAGAAGCAAATGAAGTAGGAAATGGAGAGGGATGCAGGATCTGAGTCTGAGGCAAAGTCTGACACAGGCCCGGAAGGGAGACACAGGATTTCATAAGGAGAAGTGGGAGGACTGATAGGAATAAAAGGCCTCTGGAGGTGCTGCTGTAATTCCAGGCCGTGGCGTTAAGACTGAGAGTTTGTGTCTCAAGATACTGCCAAAGCCGTTCATGCACAATTGGACTTTGGGATCTAACCTGAGAATCGACTACGAAGAAAACAGAAGCTCAGAGGCTGGTGGTCTCTCCTGCCGTCACACCCACACCAGTCACACGCCATCAGAGGCTGGTGGTCTC